GTCACCTCAAGAACTGTCAGTCCTTTTGCATTGGGTTCAGCAATGAAGGCAAAATTTGACAAGAAAAACGTCCCCTTCTTAACAACGTCAAGTACCACAGTTCTACGGGTGAAAGTGTGCCTCCCTCCCCAAATACCCAGGGTCAAAACAGAAGATATTGGAAAGAATATTAAAGAATGGCAAAATGTCGGCAGGAAGGAATAATCAGAAAGAGGTAGAAAGGAAAAATGAGACATAAGGAAAAGGAAAAAGCATACAGCAACATTAGAGAAGACAGCAGCAGGAGCATAAGGCTTCAAAAGGACAGAGGACAAGCTGCCCCATGGTACATCAAATTCCGGCAGCCGTCCACCAAGCACCCTCACCATGGCAAGGAGCTGAAAAGGGAGGGGGTTCCGAGTAAAAGTCACAGCACAAGTCTTAGTTGGAGAGAACTTGAATACATGATCAGTGGCCCAAGATGACATGGCATCAATCACAAGTTGAAGTTGTTGTTGGAGAAAAGGAGAGTCATCAAGCAGCACTGGCAACTCTGTACATGCTAATCACTCAAGAGTCTTCTATTAACACTCATAAGCTTGTATTCAATTCATTAAATACCATGCATACCTTCATTCTTTTTCATATGCCTTTTCTATAAGCTGTCTTAATCCAAATATCTGATCAACACACTCTTTACTACCACAGGATCCACCCTGTTCATCACTGATCAATTTCTCCAATTTCATGTGTTTATCCAATCACTATCATATGCACCACTTAATCCACCTTTTTCATGACTGACCAATTTCTCAGTCATTTCTTGTACATCTATTACAAACCTATCTATCAAAACCCTATCCTACCATACATCTTGCCTATTCTTAGTTAAGGAATGCCTTGAAAGATCTTACACTCACTATAACCAGCTATTTTCTAATCCTCTCAAGCATTATCACTGTTCCATACCTTTTGGTAAATGCCTCACATTCCTTTTTTTCTAAAATACAATATTTACAAATTTTGTATATGTACCTCACTAACATCTGCTGCTTTCTTACATTTCTGCTCCACTAATGTCCTCACATCTTCCATACAAAAGTTGTCATAAATATTGCACTCCTCCCATAATTTTTTTTCACATTAGCACTTTCTTCATTACCTCATGAGATTTTTAAAATATTCTCTCCATCTGAGGGGGCCTGATGGCGCTCGGGATTCGTAGTCCTAAGGTTCCGGGTTCGATCGAAAGAGGTGGAAAGAAATGGGCAGTTTCTTTCACCCTGATGCCTCCTGTTCCCCTAGCAGTAAATAGGTACCTTGGAGTTAGACAGCTGCTACGGGCTGCTTCCTGAGGATGTGTAATGACCAAGCCGACCACGGCCTGGTCGAGGACTGGGCCGTGGGGATGCTAAGCCCCAAAATCATCTTAAGATAACCACCTACTTCTCATCTCCTTTTCTATTTAACATTCTCACATGTATATTGTATCTTTAACATTTTCATTTATTTGTCCAACAGACTCTCTGCTTCACTTTCTTAATTTAAAAAGAGCTTCCTGTTTTGTGAATAATTGTTTACCCCTATCTCATTCATTAAATTTTTTCTGCTTTACTAATCTTTTTTTCACAAACATTGTACAGTACTCTCCTCATATTCCCATTTCCTTGCCTATCATTTTTTCCTTATTACGAAGTTAGTTTTATAATCAGCTGGTCTTGCCACCTCTTTATCCCATTTTTCCTTATTATTCTGAGAGTTTATGCAACTGTACTCTTTACTGGCATTCTTAACCAAACATTTCTTATATACATCTCGAATCTGTTCATAGTCTCTTTCTTAAAGATTCCAATCAATTCTTATTTTGTATCCATCTACCAATTCTCTTTCATTCAACTTATAAATTTGTATTATTTTACTTCTTGGATCCATACGAGATACAGTACAATCATACTTTCACCACTTAATCTCATCATACATAAAATCATGTGATCAGAAAACCTCCATATATTCGTCTCAATGCTCTTGCATACCACACATAATTAAGCAATCTTCTGAACAGGCACATTGTAATTTAGATCTTAACAATTTCATAATTTACTCTGTTTCAAGTAACTCCACCATAGAAACCTTAAATTCATAAAAAATCCATTACAAAAATAAATTATATATATTATAACACCTGCAAAATATTTTAAAACCTATAGTAAAGCAAAGAGTTCTAAACTTGTTTTTAAATAGCTTTTATATAAATATTTAGTAAACGGTGCCCAGTTATTCAAATTATATATTCAGGCCATCTTGATCCCAAGGTGTCCTGATACAAGGTAAAAAAAAAAAAAAAATATATATATATATATATATATATATAGTATATTTTGGTAGCAGTCTTTCCTGTAGACATATTTTATTAAATATGACCGAAAAAGTAAGATTAATAATTCTAACACGAATTTTCTCAATCTTTCGTACATTATGCTTCACTGTTGGAGGTAAATCAAAAATCACTTCTCCAAAATTCATTTTTATTTCTAGTCTGACGCGACACGGGCGCGTTTCGTAAAACTTATTACATTTTCAAAGACTTCACAAATACACAACTGATTAGAACTTGCGTTTCCCTGATTTTATATCTACATTTGAGTGAGGTGGGAAGGGTGATGTGGCATTACATTTGAGTAAGGTGGGAAGGATGATGTGGCATTAGAGGATATTAATAGGGTATTAAAAGTATCAACACAAGACAGAACACGAAACAATGGATATTGAATAGAAGTGTTTGTAGAAAGCCTATTGGTCCATATTTCTTGATGCTTCTATATTGGAGCGGAGTCTTGAGGTGGGTAGAATATAGTTGTGCAATAATTGGCTGTTGATTGCTGGTGTTGACTTCTTGATGTGTAGTGCCTCGCAAACGTCGAGCCGCCTGCTATCGCTGTATCTATCGATGATTTCTGTGTTGTTTACTAGGATTTCTCTGGCGATGGTTTGGTTATGGGAAGAGATTATATGTTCCTTAATGGAGCCCTGTTGTTTATGCATCGTTAAACGCCTAGAAAGAGATGTTGTTGTCTTGCCTATATACTGGGTTTTTTGGAGCTTACAGTCCCCAAGTGGGCATTTGAAGGCATAGACGACGTTAGTCTCTTTTAAAGCGTTCTGTTTCGTGTCTGGAGAGTTTCTCATGAGTAGGCTGGCCGTTTTTCTGGTTTTATAGTAAATCGTCAGTTGTATCCTCTGATTTTTGTCTGTAGGGATAACGTTTCTATTAATATCTTTCAGGACCCTTTCCTCTGTTTTATGAGCTGTGGAAAAGAAGTTCCTGTAAAATAGTCTAATAGGGGGTATAGGTGTTGTGTTAGTTGTCTCTTCGGAGGTTGCATGGCTTTTCACTTTCCTTCTTATGATGTCTTCGATGAAACCATTGGAGAAGCCGTTATTGACTAGAACCTGCCTTACCCTACAGAGTTCTTCGTCGACTTGCTTCCATTCTGAGCTGTGGCTGAGAGCACGGTCGACGTATGCGTTAACAACACTCCTCTTGTACCTGTCAGGGCAGTCGCTGTTGGCATTTAGGCACATTCCTATGTTTGTTTCACAGTTTCGATCAGTTTGTTGACCTTTGCTTTTAATTCGGCTGTAGTGTCCTTCGTTACCCTTTGGAACTTAGTTTGGTCAGAGAGTATGATGTTCATTTTCGCCAGTTATTCGGAATAACAAACATAGGAATGTGCCTAAATGCCAACAGCGACTGCCCTGACAGGTACAAGAGGAGTGTTGTTAACGCATACGTCGACCGTGCTCTCAGCCACAGCTCAGAATGGAAGCAAGTCGACGAAGAACTCTGTAGGGTAAGGCAGGTTCTAGTCAATAACGGCTTCTCCAATGGTTTCATCGAAGACATCATAAGAAGGAAAGTGAAAAGCCATGCAACCTCCGAAGAGACAACTAACACAACACCTATACCCCCTATTAGACTATTTTACAGGAACTTCTTTTCCACAGCTCATAAAACAGAGGAAAGGGTCCTGAAAGATATTGTTAATAGAAACGTTATCCCTACAGACAAAAATCAGAGGATACAACTGACGATTTACTATAAAACCAGAAAAACGGCCAGCCTACTCATGAGAAACTCTCCAGACACGAAACAGAACGCTTTAAAAGAGACTAACGTCGTCTATGCCTTCAAATGCCCACTTGGGGACTGTAAGCTCCAAAAAACCCAGTATATAGGCAAGACAACAACATCTCTTTCTAGGCGTTTAACGATGCATAAACAACAGGGCTCCATTAAGGAACATATAATCTCTTCCCATAACCAAACCATCGCCAGAGAAATCCTAGTAAACAACACAGAAATCATCGATAGATACAGCGATAGCAGGCGGCTCGACGTTTGCGAGGCACTACACATCAAGAAGTCAACACCAGCAATCAACAGCCAATTATTGCACAACTATATTCTACCCACCTCAAGACTCCGCTCCAATATAGAAGCATCAAGAAATATGGACCAATAGGCTTTCTACAAACACTTCTATTCAATATCCATTGTTTCGTGTTCTGTCTTGTGTTGATACTTTTAATACCCTATTAATATCCTCTAATGCCACATCATCCTTCCCACCTTACTCAAATGTAATGCCACATCACCCTTCCCACCTCACTCAAATGTAGATATAAAATCAGGGAAACGCAAGTTCTAATCAGTTGTGTATTTGTGAAGTCTTTGAAAATGTAATAAGTTTTACGAAACGCGCCCGTGTCGCGTCAGACTAGAAATAAAAATGAATTTTGGAGAAGTGATTTTTGATTTACCTCCAACAGTGAAGCATAATGTACGAAAGATTGAGAAAATTCGTGTTAGAATTATTAATCTTACTTTTTCGGTCATATTTAATAAAATATATATATATATATATATATATATATATATATATATATATATATATATATATATATATATATATATATATATATATATATATATATATATATATATATATATATATATATATATATATTACTTTGTCCTGAGACCATATAGTCTCAGGACACACTTATCATGCTATGATTGCTGGAAAAAGATTTTCATATATATAAATATTTTATCAATGTATAAGAAATTATTACATGTACAGAGGAACCTCGAGTGACGAGCAGCCCCATCTACGAGCATTTCAAATAACAAGCGAGCCACTCGCGGACAAATTGTCTCGATTAACAAGCAAACCACGTGGTGCGGTTCTCGCAAATTCTCGGACAAATTCAATTGTGCTTTTTAAGTACAATTGAAAACAGTAAAACACAACATTTATAATAATTAAATGTACAGTATTATAATTACATTATAAAATGTCATATTGATGTTTTTCGGGGGGGGGTGAAACGAATTAATTTTATTTCCATTACTTTAAATGGGGAAATTTGTTTTGCAAGATGAGCGTTTCACATGACGAGCTCGGTGCTGGAACGGAATAAATTCGTTAATCGAGGCTCCACAGTACCAGGTAATGACTTTTCAGAGACTGCATGTATTGTCCCTGCTGTGGCACAGTAATATTGTATTTGTATTTACTGATAAACTAATTTAGAAGGTATAGTTGATCCATCACCTTGTTGTTCATGTGTTTACTGTAACCATGCATTGTGGCGGCTCAAACCATATACAGTACAAGTTGTATCACTATCACTAAGAACATTCAAATGCCTTTTCTTTAAAATGAATTGCCATGTGTTTTACTAGATGACTTTGTTGAGAAAAATACTTAAAGCATTTTGAACACTGATACGTTTGTTCTCTTGTATGAATTTTTGTGTGTGTTGCTAAATGAGATTTTTTGGAAAAGTCTTTGAGACATATTGAACAGTGATGTGGTTTCTCCCCTGTATGTATTCTTGTGTGTACAACTAAATGAGACTTTTGTGTAAAGGTTTTGGGACATATTGAACACTTAAATGGCTTTTCTCCAGTATGAATTCTCATGTGCCCTATTAGATGAGATTTTTGTGTAAAGTCCTTAAGACATTCTGAACACTGATATACTTTCTCTCGTGTGTGGGTTTTCATGTGTCTTACTAGACCATTTTGTCGTGAAAAACATTTTAAGCACTCTGAACACTGATATGGTTGCTCTCCTGTATGATTTCTCATGTGAATTATTAGATGAGATTTTTGTATAAATTCTTTTGGACATACTGAACAATGATGCAGATTCTCACGTGTATGAGTTCTCATATGCCTTGCTAGAACACTTTGCTGTGAAAAATATTTTAAGCACTCTGAACACTGATATGGTTGCTCTCCTGTATGAATTCTTGTGTGTCTTATTAGATCATTTTTTTTTGAAAAATTTTTCAGACATATTGAACATGGATAAGGTTTCTCTCCTGTATGAATTCTCAAGTGTGTTACTAGATTGTATTGTTGTGAGAAGTATTTTTGACACACTGAACACTGATATGGTTTCTCTCCTGTGTGAGTCCTTAAATGATTTACAAGGTGATTTTTTCGTGAAAAAGCTTTCACACAAAAAGAACACTTGTATGTTTTCTCTTTTGTGGGAACTTGCATTACAACTGCAGATTTTTTTGTGTGACGATGGATATGGTCTCCAAGTAGTGACCGAGCTGTTGTAGAGGCAGCGATTCCTTGAGCCATTGCCACGAAGATAGATTTAAGATTATTTTTATTTGTGTGGGGAGGATGGGAAGGCAGTATAATACCAACTATATAAACTTGGAGATATGTTCCTATTGCTTTGTGTTTGCTTTGCAAAGAAGCATTTTTCCTTTAATAACAAGCTTGAGAAATGAAATATTGAATTGAATTTTATTTAATATACACTCAAAGTTCTATAATGGTTTTCCTCCACTACAGGATGCATTCATTCTACTAGATAATGCTTTTGTGCAAATAAATTAAGAACATTAAACAAAGATACAGTTTTTGTTAAATGGTCTCTATAGCTTAATTAAAAAGAGCAATATCATATAAATGTGAACACAAATTACAGCTACTATGAGCTTATATACAGCTGATTATGGTCATATACATATATATGTATATGTATATGTATATGTATATATATACATATATACATATACATATTATGTATCATATACAGCTATTCCTGAACTGTATGTTTTTTTAAATTGATGCATGTGGTATATATAATTGGGAGAAATAAAAAAAATCTATATATTTACAAATGTTATGGGGTGGATTATTATGGATTATGCAATGTTTAAAATGGCATACCAGTTATTTCTTTTACACCCTGGAAGTAGCATTCAATTCTACCATTTAAATCCTTTTTACCTGCAGTTGGCTTCATACATCCTGGACTTCAGTTCAAGTCAGGCATTACTCTTAAAAATACCTATGTCCTCAATTATTTGTTGAAATAATTTATTACAGTACTGCAATGTACTACACTGATATGCAATTTAATTATAAAATCAGTGGAATTAATTGATTTTTCTAGTGAAAGTGCTACAATTATGATTCATGTCATACACAGTTTGATTATTTAGAAAACACTTTGTCAAACCTGAAACTTTATAAAATGATAATATACTAAATATAATAATACAGTAATGATAAATACAAAATATAATAAAGTTAAAAATCAAGGAGATTTTAAAGAAAACCAATATACAGTAATTTGTTATTAAAAAATAAACTGTATCTGTAAAACATTGAAGCAGGAATGTAACTAAAGGCAAGATAAAAGAACACAGTGACCAAAATAAGAAGACAAATGAGTGATGATGCCCTAACTGCTGGCATTACAAAACATTCCTTGATAGTGCCGAGTGCTACATTTGGTGAAATTGTGCACAAAATAGAGCAAACACAATTATTTGTTGTTATTATTTCTGTACAATTTCAAATGACAAATTTAATAAAAAAAAAAATCAAACTAGGAATATTCATATAGATTGGACAAAGGGCAAATACAAAAGTCTCCACAGAAATTCAACAAATCTAAACAAAAGTCACATTAGTGATGATATTTGGGTGACCTTCAGTTGGCTAGATGTTAAAACTGTACATGAAATACTTTATGTATTATACACATGCATATTGCATTCATATAGTACCCCAAACTGCTCAGATTTTGTACATATAGAACTTATTTATGGCACTGTTTGTTGTCACTGCAACTGGAATTCATCTGCTGTAAGGATGCACTGCAAAGGGGAAAAAGTTAGATATTAACAGTAATTAAATTAATATGAAATATTCTCTGAGGTTCTGTAAAGTTCTGTCGCATGGATGTTCATGTTTTCTCAGGCATTTTACTGTCAAGTCCACAGACCCTAACCCACATCTCCATATCACTTAAATATATTGTGCTTCACCCACTCTACATATCACTTCCACACTCCTGTCACTCATTCTATATCACTCTCATATTATATTGCTATACCCATTCCAGATACACTATCAGCTTTACTAAGAAATAATTTCTATCTATTAAACTTCTGAGCACTACACCCTTTTCCATACATAAATTTCAACTCGATGTCAATAATGGTATATATGTCAGGGCTGAAAGTGGTACTGTATGTGTATCAAGACTGAAAGTAGTATATATGTCAGAGCTGTGAGTAGTATATATATATATATATGTCAGGGCTGAGAGTGGAACATATGGTCGATACACTATAGGAATTTGACCCAACTGATAGATGGGTCAACCCATGTGTTGTCTCCCCAAAATGGTCAACTATTTTGGAATAGACGAATACCCAAAGAATATTGTTGAAAACAACATGATAACTTATTAAATTAAATTTATTTATATGTCAGAAGAAAGACAGAAACAGGATCTATATGTAAAACCTCTATCATAAAAATATTTTAAGTAAAACTGAAGATATATGTAGTTGAAAAAAGTGGCAGTATTCATCGCTAGTCAAGCTCGTAATCCACAATATTCATCTCAGAACAATGCTTATTTCACGCAGATTCATCATAAATGTAAGTTTTATATGTCACAAGAAAGACAGAAATATAAGCTTCATTTTAAATACCTGACCATGGGCATATTTGAAATTAAAGCAAAGATTGGTATATTTTATAGTCACCGAGCTCTGCCTCCGCACAGATCGATTGTTGAAGCAACTCTTTCTCTCTCTCAGAACAATATTTATTTCATGTAAATATGTAAATATCCATAAATATTTTATATGCCTCAAGAAAGATAGGAATATAAACTTCATTTTAAACACTTTACAATAGACATACTGTAATTAGTCCTAATGAGGATACATGTGTTTTAATAATCACCGAGCTCTGATCTCACACAGACTGATCGACAGAGCAACTCACTATCCCCCCCCCACCCACCCACTGTTATTTGTTGGTATGCATTCGCTACTTAAACTACCATGTACTGTACTTATGTAAAATCTCCCATGTATCTTCGTACATGGAACACCAAACCCCACAAGGTCTCTGATATATTGATTAAGTAACCACTGCAGTACACATAGTGCCTTGAGGCGCTAGATGGGTGGAGCGCAAAGTGCCTCAGGGCACTCGTTGGTATAGCATATGAATCAAGACTGGCACTCAGTGATGTGTGTACAAAATGGATGCCTGAGGCCTCTAGCGATCATCCGCCATTTAAAAAAAAAATCAAATTTTTTTATCGAGGATACCAGCCTTGAGCAGGCTGGTATCACATTTGCAAGGGATGTGCCAATGGATGAGAAGAAACAACTAATTTTTTTTTTGCAGTGTCAGTGCCATAAAGCACTGGATAGCAGCACAAAGCTGCGTTATTAAGCTTTTAAGTTACCCCATTGAGCTATATTTTTCACCATTTTTGTTCTACATTATGCTCAGAACACTGCCTATTAATGGCTTAAGGCATTGTACTTGTCTTACCTAGGAATCCTCCACTGGTCTTGTATCCTATGTATGTACTTGTGTCTAAATTAAGCATTATATGACATCATATATTAATAAACAAATTGTTTTTAAAGAATTTACCTATGACTGCTCTTATTCTTTAAGATGTGTGCAGTTAGCGTGAAGATTATATTCAGCTGATGACTAGGGCGTGATGCCGAGGCGTGTTGAGCTTCACGGTCATCTTAAATCAGCCTGACATTTAAGTCTCATTTCTTAATGTTGTTGATTCAGGAGCGACGACGACTGGAGATTTAAAACTTTAATGTGATTTTCTTCTTTATGATACGTGAAGGTTTTCCCCTTGATAACTGGTAACGTGCGCGTCTTCTTGATGGTTGTTGTTAGTGAGTGGTTGAGGGGCATCGAGGGATCAGATGCGCCCCTTCTTGATGGTCCGTGAATGTCTTCTTGTTGATAGTAGGTGCAGTTTGCATGAAGGGTTTGTCCTCCCGATGACTGCACCAGTACTGATGTTGGTGGACGCCTTTATGTTGAGGATGATTACGTGAATGTGAGCTCTTGGTGATGGCAGCGGCGGGTGTTGTGTTGATGGCGTCAGCTGATCGCCTCTCACTCCCTCTTGCAACATTTACGTTTTCTATGATGGGTTGTCAGGCTGATTTAAACTGCTTTAGCTCAAATAAATAATAAATAAATAAATGTTTATTTAGGTGTTGCTTAAGTGTTGCTTATCAAGTGTTGCTTAATTGTTTTGTGAACTACAGATATCTAGTCAGTATAATCTCCTTCCTCTATTATGTATTCGATGTTGAAGGGCACTATATACGGTGATAACTTTAGTTTGAAATTGATGCTAACATCTAAACCTGTGAAGGAAATCATGTTCGTCTCTCTCTGAAACTTAGCAATGGATGAAATGTTCATTGATGTCTAGCTGTCATGCATGAATGAGTGCATGACAGCTAGTCATGCACTCATGAATGCATGAGTGTTTTCAACTCAACTTATGCTTTGATCTCAATTAGTATTAAGTTTTAGTCTAAGTGTTTTTTCCCCCACCTTGCCCGAAACGCTATGCATATTAGTGGCTTTAGGCATTGTATGTACTAGCTTTATCTAGAAATCTAATATTATGTTTGTAACTCATCTTGTATGTATGTACTTTTACCTGTCACGATCGTCGTCGCCCCTAAATCATCAACAACATAGTTTTACTTGAGTAAACATTTGATTTGAACCTCGCCGACACGAGGGTCGTGTTCAAGTAGTTGGATCGTCAGCGTCGATGAGTGCTCGCTACGCTCCTCACTCTACGCTGTATTTCACCCCATAAAGTACCCCCAGATGATGAAGACCACCACCCACAGGCAGCTAAGTACATGGAGTCCGAGCATGTCATAGCACAATCAAAGTAACCAACCCAGATAGACTCATTCCATCTGAAACACAAATCAAAACAATCGTCTCTAGCTGTGAGTACCAGTGCTGCTGCCCACACCGCGCTGCCTGACGCAAGTGTCCACCACAACATATACTCCAGTCATCCTCGACCTATCATGTCTCCCAGGAGCAGGACTGTGCAGGTAAATAAGAGCAACAAAGCCCCTAACAAGGCATCCATCACGACAAATACTGACAGTCATCGTGTTTCTCCCTCTGGAAGCTCTGGGGCCAGTGGTGGCGGTGCTGCCCTCCCCTCCACCCCATTGAGCCAGGGAGCGGTGTCCTCTCAAGCCTCTCCTATTACCACTCTTACATCCCAGTTTACGAAATTCAAGCGTGCTTCTGGTCCCTCACCGGATTTCCCTAACTGGGCCGATAATCAGTGGGCCAAAAAGTTGTGCTCAGTCCTTGAGGCTCAAAATACGATCTTAAGTCTTCAAACTGAAAATCAAGCAAACTGTGTGAACCTCCGTCAACAACAACAGGAAATAACCTCCTCTGCAAGGATATTAGAAACTTGAGGACAAGCCATGATCAACTTCAGCATGACTTGAATGATCTCCGTGAGGAAAACATTCGTTTGAAATCCGATGAAGCCATAAAAAAGCAAGAGGAAGCTCTCAGCAAAATGACTGCATGTATCAGTACATTATCCGCCCAACGTTCCGTCACCCAGGATGAACAAGATCAGCAAAAGCTGCTTGACTCTGTAGTTATGTCGTCCCAAGATATTCCAGTGGAAAGCGAAGGTGAAAAGTGTATTGAAATAGTTCAAGATCTCTTAAAAAAAAAAATTGTAGTTCACTCTAAACAAAACAGACATTATTGCTGCCTACAGAGTAGGCAAAAAGAATCCATCAGGACAAAACCAGTGGAAAATTTGCCTGAAACTGGCTTCCCAGTCCATGAAATCGCATCTTGTCCAGACAGCTGCATCCCAATGACAGGGAATCTACATCGAGTGCTTGATTAGAAAAAGACAGCAACTCCTCTACCGCCTGCGTCAAATCCGTCGTCAAAACCCAGATGCGATTCATCAGTGCTTCATCAGAGATGACTTGATTAAAGTGAGAAAGACTAAAGTAGGTAAAATGTTTACAATTGCTAATGAGGATAACCTCAACACTTTCCTCTCCCAATGTGGTTTGTCTCACTTTATTATCACTCCCAATGAGTCAACATAATTAACCCCCTTGTCACCTAGTGCGGGCTAGGTATCCTAAGTATCTTTGATAACCAGACCACACACTAGAATGTGAAGGGACGACGATGATTCGGTCCGTCCTGGACCATTCTCAAGTCGATTGTCGACTTGAGAATGGTCCAGGACGGACCGAAACGTCGTCGTCCCTTCACCTTCTAGTGTGTGGTCTGGTCATCATACTTTAGCCACGTTATTGTGATTCATCGCCTCACTAAGTCCCTTTGTTTCACTTTTTAAATTAATTTTTATTTACTTTTTACTAGTCATTTATTGGACTTAATTAACTGAGTGCTTTAATATTTCTTTAGGTCTTATTAATTATACGTTCATAACTAAACTATTTATAAGTAATAATCTTTAGCTTAAATTTGCCTATGTTTATTAATCAACTTTTTTCTTTGATTTCATTTATTACCTAGGTTGCTTAGCCTCGCCATACTCCCTTACTCCATTGTACCCCTGGCTTTGCCTGTGCCTCAAAATGCAAATTATTACTTAGTGTACCTGAGAGTACTTGTAAGCCCCTTGTAAGCTACCTCATTTTTCTTTTTTTTTTGTTCATTTTGTGTTTGTTTTGTATAGTCTTGTTTATATATTTTTTTCTCTTTCCCCCTTTTATTTCAAATTTCTATTTTGTAATTGCCATTCTTGCCTTGTTTTCCAATAACCAGCCTTTTTATGCAGACAAGTATAGACCCAGAACTAAACCTCTTATCCACTATCTATGACAATCATCACTTTAATGATCGAAATTGCAGATATTATACAGCACATGATGTAAACAGTGTATTAACACATAATCACAATGTCTCTGTAATCAACTTGAACGTTAGATCCCTAGGTAAACAAATAAATAAATAAATAATAAATAAATGTTTATTTAGGTAAGGTACATACATAAAGAGATTTTACAAAGTTTGTTGGATTAATAGATAGAGCTAGTACATACAATGCCTAAAGCCACCATTACGCAAAGCGTTTCGGGCAGGAAAAACATTAATGACCAAAGCTTAATACTAATGGGTAAAAAGAATAAAATGTGTTGAGAACAAATAAAAATAGAGGTAAAAGAGGGGGAACATAGCTGAAAAGCAGCACAAATACAATTACAAATTATTACAGACAATTACATTCAAACAGCGTTGTTTTGAAAAAAAAACAAAAAACATACATGGGTTGACAACAGAGGGGTAAGGTAGGTTACAGGGAATTTATTAGGTAGTGCTTCGTTTTTATCTTAAACTGGTTGAGAGAGGTACTATCTTTAACATGGTTGGGAAGATCATTCCACATTCTGGGTCCCTTGATTTGAAGAGCATTTCTAGTTTGATTAAGTCGTACTCTAGGAATATCAAAACTGTATTTATTTCTGGTGTGGTGCTCATGGGTTCTGTTACAACCTTCAATGAATCTTTTGAGGTCAGGATTGGCATTACAGTTCAGCGTTTTATATATGTATAATACACATGAGAGAATGTGCAGTGACTTAATATCTAACATATTCAGAGTTTTGAGTAGGGGTACCGAGTGATGTCTGGGGCTAGAGTTGGATATTGTCCTAATAGCAGCTTTGTGTTGAGTAATTAGAGGACGTAAATGATTTTGGGTAGTAGAACCCCAAGCACAAATACCATAGTTGAGATATGGATAGATAAGGGAGTAATAGAGAGTCACCAGGGCAGGGCAGGGTACATAATATCTGATCTTAGAAAGAATGCCAACAGTTTTTGAAACTTTTTTTTATATATTTAGAATGTGTTCCTGGAAATTCAGCTTGTGGTCGATGAGAACGCCAAGGAATTTGCCATCTAATCTGTTACAAATTTGGGTATTGTTTATTTTGAGATTTATTTGATTGAAGGATTTATTGCCAAACAGAATATAGAACGTTTTGTCAATGTTAAGGGTGAGTTTGTTGGCAGTTAGCCAAAGATGGACTTTCTCTACCTCAGTATTTACTGTGGCATTTAGAGCAAGGGGGTCAGGACTGGAGTAAATGAAGGTTGTGTCGTCAGCAAATAGAATTGGTTTGAGGTGTTGGGAGGCATTTGGAAGGTCATTAATGTAGATGAGAAAGAGGAGAGGACCAAGTATGCTGCCCTGAGGAACACCAATGTTGATGGGTAGGGTGGGAGAAATTGTATTATTCACAGAAACATACTGGAGCCTGTCAGTAAGATAAGATTTGAGGTATTGCAGGGAGTGTCCTCTGACTCCATAATGATGTAATTTAAGAAGAAGGTTTTGGTGGTTGACAGTGTCAAAAGCCTTATGCAGGTCCACAAATAACCCAACAGGGAACTCCTTTTTATCAATAGCTGCGTGAATCAAGTTAATCATACTAATAAGTGCATCGTTAGTGCTTTTTTTGGGTCTGAAGCCATATTGACAAGAGCTAAGTATATTGTGTTTGGCTAGAAAAGAGTAAAGCTGCTTGTAGATTAGTTTTTCGAATATTTTTGACAAGTTAGGCAGGATTGATATAGGTCTGTAGTTGTTAACATCTGTGCGATCACCACATTTGTGGACAGGGGTTACTCTTGCTTTTTTTAGAATGTCTGGAAAGGTTTGGAGTTCAAGTGACTTGTTGAAGAGCAATGCAATAGCAGGGGCTAAAGATCTGGAGGCTTTTTTGTAAATTAAAGTTGGTATCTCCTCGAGGGCACTAGACTTGGTTTTAAGGGAAAGGATTATCTCATTGACATCAGTGGAATTAGTAGGCTTTAGGTACAGAGACTGTGAATAGTTACCTGTAAGATAGTCCTTAACATCAGTACTGGAAGATGGAATATTATTTGCAAGGGATGACCCAATGGAAGAGAAGAACCTATTGAACTCAATAGCAGAATCAGAGGCTGAAAGCTGACCAACGTTATTGGACAGGAGTGTTGGTTTGTTATTTAAAATCTTCTTTGATCCCAATATTTGTGAAATTGTGCTCCAAGTTTTTTTAATGTTGCTCTTTATTTGGGTAAATTTATCTTCATAGTACAGTATTTAGTTTTGGCTCGTCTAATTATTTTAGATAGCAATAACGAGTAATTCTTTGAGAATTCTTTGGAGACGGTTCCTAACCTATACTTCTTCTCAAGGTCGTGTTTTTTGTTAATGGATTTAAGTATTCCCTTTGTAAGCCAGGGATTGTTAAGCCTTTTGTTTGTGACTTGTTTTGTAAGCATAGGACAGTGGGTGTTATAAAGGCTAAGAGTTGTTTGTAGAAAAGATTGCACTGCTAGGTTGATGTCCCCTATGTTACCTAACTCGGACTCCCAGTTGACATTATCAGCAGCAGTTATAAAATTGTCTATAGCAGTTTCATTGTGCAGCCTAAAGCTTAACTCCCTTGACTCAAGAGGTGGTTTGATAATGTTAGTTAAGAGAAATGTGGGGTAATGGATAAACACTTCGATGATGTTAGTGCCTTGATTGAAACTATTGACTACAAATTCTCTTATTACACTTACTGAACCACTACTCAACTCTTTAACATGCCTAACTACTTGGCAATTCACAACTGTCGTCAAATTCAGAGAGGTGGTGGTACTACTCTTTACTACCACCAAGAACTAACATGCTTAAAAGTAATTAGAACCAGACTGCTGTGGGGAGTATATCTTCGCCAGTTTCAGAGTCAAGGGTGCTGAGTCTGTCCTGTCTGTGGGTGCAGTCTCTAGAATTCCTAACACAGATGTGTCCAAATTCAACTCAAACCTTAGAAATCTAATACTAGATAACAGACTGAACAAAAACCATCTTATTATCGCAAGGGACTTTAATATTGACCTCTGTGAGCCTGAACACCCTACTGCTGTTAGCTTCCTCAACTGTATGAATTCCTGTTTCCTCATACCCTTAATCACTAGACCTACTAGAATCACTGATAGTACTGCCACGACTCTAGATCACATCTGGACCAACATAACCTCTCCGCTTACTTCAGGTATAATCACTGATAGCACTACAGACCATTACCCCACATTTCTCTTAACTAACGTTAACAAACCACCTCTAGAGACAAAAGAGTTCAGCTTTAGACTGCACAATGAAACTGCTATAGACAATTTTATAACTGCTGCTGATAATGTCCTAAAATAATTAGACGAGCCAAAACTAAATACTACAAAAGATAAATTTACCCAAATAAAGAGCAACATTAAAAAAACTTGGAGCACAATTTCACAAATATTGGGATCAAAGAAGATTTTAAATAACAAACCAACACTCCTGTCCAATAACGATGGTCAGCTTTCAGCCTCTGATTCTGCTATTGAGTTCAATAGGGTCTTCTCTTCCATTGGGTCATCCCTTGCAAATGACATTCCATCTTCCAGTACTGATGTTAAGGACTATCTTACAGGTAACTATCCACAATCTCTGTACCTAAAGCCTACAAATTCCACTGACGTTAATGAGATAATCCTTTCCCTTAAAACCAAGTCTAGTGCCCTTGAGGAGATACCAACTTTAATTTACAAAAAAGCCTCCAGATCTTTAGCCCCTGCTATTGCATTGCTCTTCAACAAGTCACTTGAACTCCAAACCTTTCCAGATATTCTAAAAAAAAGCGAGAGTAACCCCTGTCCACAAATGTGGTGATCTCACAGATGTTAACAACTACAGACCTATATCAATCCTGCCTAACTTATCAAAAATATTTGAAAAACTAATCTACAAGCAGCTTTACTCTTATCTAGCCAAACACAATATACTTAGCTCTTGTCAATATGGCTTCAGACCCAGAAAAAGCACTAATGATGCACTTATTAGTATGATTAACTTGATTCATGCAGCTCTTGATAAAAATGAGTTTCCTGTTGGGTTATTTGTGGACCTACGTAAGGCTTTTGACACTGTCAACCACCAAAACCTTCTTCTTAAATTACTTCATTATGGAGTCAGAGGACACTCCCTACAATACCTCAAGTCTTACCTTACTGACAGGCTCCAGTATGTTTCTGTGAATAATTCAATTTCTCCCACCCTACCCATCAACATCGGTGTTCCTCAGGGCAGCATACTTGGCCCTCTCCTCTTTCTCATCTACATTAATGACCTTCCAAATGCCTCCCAACACCTCAAACCAATTCTATTTGCTGACGACACAACCTTCATTTACTCCAGTCCTGACCCCCTTGCTCTAAATGCCACAGTAAATACTGAGCTAAATAAAGTCCATCTTTGGCTAACCGCCAACAAACTCACCCTTAACATTGACAAAACTTTCTATATTCTGTTTGGCAATAAATCCTCTAATCAAATAAATCTCAGAATAAACAATACCCAAATTTGTAACAAAATAGATGGCAAATTCCTTGGCGTTCTCATTGACCACAAGCTGAATTTCCAGGGACACATTCTAAATATATAAAAAAAAGTTTCAAAAACTGTTGGCATTCTTTCTAAGATCAGATATTATGTACCCCGCCCTGCCCTGGTGACGCTCTATTACTCCCTTATCTATCCATATCTCAACTATGGTATTTGTGCTTGGGGTTCTACTACCCAAAATCATTTACGTCCTCTAATTACTCAACACAAAGCTGCTATTAGGACAATATCCAACTCTAGCCCCAGACATCACTCGGTACCCCTACTCAAATCTCCGAATATATTAGACATTAAGTCACTGCACATTCTCTCATGTGTATTATACATATATAAAACGCTGAACTGTAATGCCAATCCTGACCTCAAAAGCTTCATTGAAGGTTGTAACAGAACCCATGAGCACCACACCAGAAACAAATACAGTTTTGATATTCCAAGAGTACGACTTAATCAAACTAGAAATGCTCTACAAATCAAGGGACCCAGAATGTGGAATGACCTTCCCAATCATGTTAAAGACTGTACCTCTCTCAACCAATTTAAGATAAAAACGAAGCACTACCTAATAAATTCCCTGTAACCTACCTTACCCCTGTATTGTCAACCCATGTCTGTTTTTTTTTTAAACACCGCTGTTTGTCGACCTAATTATATTTGTGCTGCTTTTTCAGCCATGTTCCCCCCTTTCTTATTTTTATTTTTATTTGTTCTCAACACATTTTATACTTTAAACTCAATTAGTATTAAGTTTTAGTCTTTAATGTTTTTCCTGCCCGAAACGCTTTGCGTAATAGTGGCTTTAGGCATTGTATGTACCAGCTCTATCTATAAACCTAGCAATTTTTGTAAAAATCTCTTGTATGTATGTACCTTACCTGAATAAACATTTATTTATTTATTTGTTCGTCAGCAGACACTCCCCGAGGACGGTGTTCGTCAGCAGACACTCCCCGAGGACGGTGTTCGTCAGCAGACACTCCCCGAGGACGGTGTTCGTCAGCAGACACTCCCCGAGGACGGTGTTCGTCAGCAGACACTCCCCGAGGACGGTGTTCGTCAGCAGACACTCCCCGAGGACGGTGTTCGTCAGCAGACACTCCCCGAGGACGGTGTTCGTCAGCAGACACTCCCCGAGGACGGTGTTCGTCAGCAGACACTCCCCGAGGACGGTGTTCGTCAGCAGACACTCCCCGAGGACGGTGTTCGTCAGCAGACACTCCCCGAGGACGGTGTTCGTCAGCAGACACTCCCCGAGGACGGTGTTCGTCAGCAGACACTCCCCGAGGACGGTGTTCGTCAGCAGACACTCCCCGAGGACGGTGTTCGTCAGCAGACACTCCCCGAGGACGGTGTTCGTCAGCAGACACTCCCCGAGGACGGTGTTCGTCAGCAGACACTCCCCGAGGACGGTGTTCGTCAGCAGACACTCCCCGAGGACGGTGTTCGTCAGCAGACACTCCCCGAGGACGGTGTTCGTCAGCAGACACTCCCCGAGGACGGTGTTCGTCAGCAGACACTCCCCGAGGACGGTGTTCGTCAGCAGACACTCCCCGAGGACGGTGTTCGTCAGCAGACACTCCCCGAGGACGGTGTTCGTCAGCAGACACTCCCCGAGGACGGTGTTCGTCAGCAGACACTCCCCGAGGACGGTGTTCGTCAGCAGACACTCCCCGAGGACGGTGTTCGTCAGCAGACACTCCCCGAGGACGGTGTTCGTCAGCAGACACTCCCCGAGGACGGTGTTCGTCAGCAGACACTCCCCGAGGACGGTGTTCGTCAGCAGACACTCCCCGAGGACGGTGTTCGTCAGCAGACACTCCCCGAGGACGGTGTTCGTCAGCAGACACTCCCCGAGGACGGTGTTCGTCAGCAGACACTCCCCGAGGACGGTGTTCGTCAGCAGACACTCCCCGAGGACGGTGTTCGTCAGCAGACACTCCCCGAGGACGGTGTTCGTCAGCAGACACTCCCCGAGGACGGTGTTCGTCAGCAGACACTCCCCGAGGACGGTGTTCGTCAGCAGACACTCCCCGAGGACGGTGTTCGTCAGCAGACGCTAGCAGCCAAGTGACGTCCAGAGCAGACTTAGCTCTACCTGAACAACATAAATCAAGTTTCCTCAACTATAATAATAATTTGTGGCAATTAGTGAATCTAAATCCAGGCAATAGATAGATAATAATAGATATTTAAATATTATTTTAGATCTATAACATATACAATAATAATAATATTTTTTATGTAAAAATACATTGAAAAACAGGATATAGTGCTTTTATTAATTTGGTAAATAAATGTGCATATTAATAAAGCTGCTATGTGTAGTACGTGAAGCATTTTGGGCATAACTTACATTTAAATTATGAATTAAATTAAAGCTAATTAAATTATCATGAATTAAAGATAATTCTGTTAAAATATTCATATACTTAACGGGGTCTAAATACCAAACAAGAAGCTAACATATATATGACTTGTTCAAGAAGCTCAGCAAGTGCTAAACAATATTTAGGCACTGTAGCAAGTGACTTAAGGCACTGTAGCAAGTGACTTAAGGCACTGTAGCAAGTGACTTAAGCCACTGTAGACACTTGTGGCGCTGGTAAAGTGGAACAGTGTTAGCCCTCACAGATTAACACTTATCAAACGGAATTGGACTCTCTATCTTATCTTTAATCATATCTTATGCTGCCTTTTGCGATAAGTTTTCAGAATCTTGCTTCAGTTAAAACACTGTCAACGTATTTAATTATTTTGCTGATCAACAAGTTTAATTGCCTTAGTACAACAAATGATGACTGTAAGCCATTGAGGGATGAAGAATGAGTTATTGCACGTCCTCTGATACTACTGTACACCCACATAGCTTGGCATCGCTTATCTCTAATGCAAGCGGATACGACAAGTGATGAGCACTCCTTATTACAATCTATTAACCAAGTAGATACGTCGCTCCCGAGACCCGTGAAGGGCGGCAGGCGTACTGGCTGGTGGTGTCCCGTCGGCTCCACAACACCCTACTGAAGAAAATTTGGATTAAACTCAGCTGTATCATAGTCGAGGTAGGTGTGGGGGGGGAGGTTAACGGTGCGTTCAGTTGTGTCTATCGGCTCAATTCAATTACTTTCTTTATTATGCACCCCATACCCATCTTGTGGGCAGTAGTGGAAAGGGTTGCCATGCAATGTAGTATGCAATGTATGCAACTGAAGAATTATGATATAAATCATAATATAATTATCATATATTATGATTTAAATGCATTATAATTCACAGTCTAATTATGTTTACTTAATGAACATTAATTAATCTTATGCATACATAGTGTGGTTATTCTTTTTTATTTTGAATTTTCTCTGCTAACATAGTGTCACTTAACGTGGTTAAGTGTTGATGAGTGTTGGTTGTCACTTAACGTGGTTAAGTGTTGGTGAGTGATGGTTGTCACTTAACGTGGTTAAGTGTTGGTGAGTGTTAGTTGTCACTTAACGTGGTTAAGTGTTGGTGAGTGTTGCTTCTCACTTAACGTGGTTGTGACATTAATTACACACTCAACCCACACATCTGAAAATAAAGGAAGTTGCGACTTGATAAGAGTCATAACGGACCATTAGCAATGGACCGACACTTTGTCACTTGATAATGGTCCATGACGAAGCGACATGTCGTCGCTTCCTTTATTTTCAGATCTGTGGGTCGGGTGTATTTTCAGACCTGTGGGTCGGGTGTATTTTCAGACCTGTGGGTCGGGTGTATTTTCAGACCTGTGGGTCGGGTGTATTTTGAGACCTGTGGGTCGGGTGTATTTTCAGACCTGTGGGTCGGGTGTATTTTCAGACCTGTGGGTCGGGTGTATTTTCAGACCTGTGGGTCGGGTGTATTTTCAGACCTGTGGGTCGGGTGTATTTTCAGACCTGTGGGTCGGGTGTATTTTCAGACCTGTGGGTCGGGTGTATTTTCAGACCTGTGGGTCGGGTGTATTTTCAGACCTGTGGGTCGGGTGTATTTTCAGACCTGTGGGTCGGGTGTATTTTCAGACCTGTGGGTCGGGTGTATTTTCAGACCTGTGGGTCGGGTGTATTTTTTTGAGACCTGTGGGTCGGGTGTATTTTCAGACCTGTGGGTCGGGTGTATTTTCAGACCTGTGGGTCGGGTGTATTTTCAGACCTGTGGGTCGGGTGTATTTTCAGACCTGTGGGTCGGGTGTATTTTCAGACCTGTGGGTCGGGTGTATTTTCAGACCTGTGGGTCGGGTGTATTTTCAGACCTGTGGGTCGGGTGTATTTTCAGACCTGTGGGTCGGGTGTATTTTCAGACCTGTGGGTCGGGTGTATTTTCAGACCTGTGGGTCGGGTGTATTTTCAGACCTGTGGGTCGGGTGTATTTTCAGACCTGTGGGTCGGGTGTATTTTCAGACCTGTGGGTCGGGTGTATTTTCAGACCTGTGGGTCGGGTGTATTTTCAGACCTGTGGGTCGGGTGTATTTTCAGACCTGTGGGTCGGGTGTATTTTCAGACCTGTGGGTCGGGTGTATTTTCAGACCTGTGGGTCGGGTGTATTTTCAGACCTGTGGGTCGGGTGTATTTTCAGACCTGTGGGTCGGGTGTATTTTCAGACCTGTGGGTCGGGTGTATTTTCAGACCTGTGGGTCGGGTGTATTTTCAGACCTGTGGGTCGGGTGTATTTTCAGACCTGTGGGTCGGGTGTATTTTCAGACCTGTGGGTCGGGTGTATTTTCAGACCTGTGGGTCGGGTGTATTTTCAGACCTGTGGGTCGGGTGTATTTTCAGACCTGTGGGTCGGGTGTATTTTCAGACCTGTGGGTCGGGTGTATTTTCAGACCTGTGGGTCGGGTGTATTTTCAGACCTGTGGGTCGGGTGTGTATTTTCAGACCTGTGGGTCGGGTGTATTTTCAGACCTGTGGGTCGGGTGTATTTTCAGACCTGTGGGTCGGGTGTATTTTCAGACCTGTGGGTCGGGTGTATTTTCAGACCTGTGGGTCGGGTGTATTTTCAGACCTGTGGGTCGGGTGTATTTTCAGACCTGTGGGTCGGGTGTATTTTCAGACCTGTGGGTCGGGTGTATTTTCAGACCTGTGGGTCGGGTGTATTTTCAGACCTGTGGGTCGGGTGTATTTTCAGACCTGTGGGTCGGGTGTATTTTCAGACCTGTGGGTCGGGTGTATTTTCAGACCTGTGGGTCGGGTGTATTTTCAGACCTGTGGGTCGGGTGTATTTTCAGACCTGTGGGTCGGGTGTATTTTCAGACCTGTGGGTCGGGTGTATTTTCAGACCTGTGGGTCGGGTGTATTTTCAGACCTGTGGGTCGGGTGTATTTTCAGACCTGTGGGTCGGGTGTATTTTCAGACCTGTGGGTCGGGTGTATTTTCAGACCTGTGGGTCGGGTGTATTTTCAGACCTGTGGGTCGGGTGTATTTTCAGACCTGTGGGTCGGGTGTATTTTCAGACCTGTGGGTCGGGTGTATTTTCAGACCTGTGGGTCGGGTGTATTTTCAGACCTGTGGGTCGGGTGTATTTTCAGACCTGTGGGTCGGGTGTATTTTCAGACCTGTGGGTCGGGTGTATTTTCAGACCTGTGGGTCGGGTGTATTTTCAGACCTGTGGGTCGGGTGTATTTTCAGACCTGTGGGTCGGGTGTATTTTCAGACCTGTGGGTCGGGTGTATTTTCAGACCTGTGGGTCGGGTGTATTTTCAGACCTGTGGGTCGGGTGTATTTTCAGACCTGTGGGTCGGGTGTATTTTCAGACCTGTGGGTCGGGTGTATTTTCAGACCTGTGGGTCGGGTGTATTTTCAGACCTGTGGGTCGGGTGTATTTTCAGACCTGTGGGTCGGGTGTATTTTCAGACCTGTGGGTCGGGTGTATTTTCAGACCTGTGGGTCGGGTGTATTTTCAGACCTGTGGGTCGGGTGTATTTTCAGACCTGTGGGTCGGGTGTATTTTCAGACCTGTGGGTCGGGTGTATTTTCAGACCTGTGGGTCGGGTGTATTTTCAGACCTGTGGGTCGGGTGTATTTTCAGACCTGTGGGTCGGGTGTATTTTCAGACCTGTGGGTCGGGTGTATTTTCAGACCTGTGGGTCGGGTGTATTTTCAGACCTGTGGGTCGGGTGTATTTTCAGACCTGTGGGTCGGGTGTATTTTCAGACCTGTGGGTCGGGTGTATTTTCAGACCTGTGGGTCGGGTGTATTTTCAGACCTGTGGGTCGGGTGTATTTTCAGACCTGTGGGTCGGGTGTATTTTCAGACCTGTGGGTCACCTGTGGGTCGGGTGTATTTCAGACCTGTGGGTCAGACCTGTGGGTCGGGTGTATTTTCAGACCTGTGGGCCGGGTGTATTTTCAGACCTGTGGGCCAGACCTGTGGGTATTTTCAGACCTGTGGGCCGGGTGTATTTTCAGACCTGTGGGCCGGGTGTATTTTCAGACCTGTGGGCCGGGTGTATTTTCAGACCTGTGGGCCGGGTGTATTTTCAGACCTGTGGGCCGGGTGTATTTTCAGACCTGTGGGCCGGGTGTATTTTCAGACCTGTGGGCCGGGTGTATTTTCAGACCTGTGGGCCGGGTGTATTTTCAGACCTGTGGGCCGGGTGTATTTTCAGACCTGTGGGCCGGGTGTATTTTCAGACCTGTGGGTCGGGTGTATTTTCAGACTTGTGAGTTGGCTGTATTTAATAGTCTTTAGTTGATGTAGTGATTGTAGACGAATGCAGGATAAAGTTGATTACCATTTATATTAATATTTAAACTTTTAAATAGTGGTAATTTTTTCTATGTAACAAAAAAATCCAGAAAATGTGAAAAACTGAAAGGCATCATTTAACACTCGTGGAATATAACCTGGGAGTGACTGTGTGTATATCTTTTAAATCATCAGTGTGTTGAGGATCAGTGAAGCAGCTCTGTACTCTGACACAAGAGGCTCACTATACCACATCTTCAAGATGGCTGAGACAGTCTGCTCTGCCCCGGTGGACGTAAACAATGCAAGTGGTATCGGTCTTCGCTGGAATATTAAGGATCTGGAAATAAGGACCAGATCACTTGAGAAGGCGCTGGAGCCCCTCGTTATACAGGTAATGATCATGTTTGGCTCTCATCAATTGTTTCAGCTTAAATAGCTTTTGACACAGAACAGGAAACTTTATTTAAGGGTACTGTACTGAGCTATATTTAAAAATCAATGATAATGGATATTAATAAAGGCTCTTGATAAATTAACATTGTAGATATTAGGGATTTTGGATAAAACACCATCAAGTGTTCAGTGGCCCTCGATGGCAACAGGAAGCCGGTGGCTTGTCAAAGGTCCCCTCATATTTTATTAACAAAATTTCAACTGGATTTTAAACTGCAGTAATGTCTTGGCATTTATGGCTTCAGCATAAAATTTATAGCTGTATGAATGAAAAAGCATCTTGATCCTATTGTGGCTTGTTGAGCTTGAAACCTTTACTCCTCTTACTGCGTTATATCTGACCTTGAAGAAACTGTCCGGATCAACATCCGCCAAATTGTTCAGTATTTTGAACGTTTTGATCAGACGAGCCCTATCATGTCTGGTTTGCGGTGTCGTACAATCTAGTACAGTGTTGTACAATCTAGTACAGTGTTGTACAATCTAGTACAGTGTTGTACAATATTGTATAATCTAGTACAGTATTGTACAGTCGAGTACAGAATCTATTGTCTATTACAGTATTGTGATAATGATGTTGAAGCCTTACAAATATATCTGGAGGAACTCCATAAACGGTCAGATGACTGGCAAATGCTTTTTAATATTGACAAATGTAAGACCTTGCCTGTGGGGCATAACAACCCACACAACAACTACCAAATTAACAACATTACAGTAGATTGAGGAAGAAAGGGACCTTGGAGTAAAAATCCACTACTCAATGAAAGTCGCAAGCAGGTTGGGGCAGCTGCCAAAAAAGCCAACCAAACACGTGGAATAATCAAGCGTACCTTCGACTTCAAAGTAAAGAAGGTAGTGATTCAATTATATAAATCTCTGGTGCGCCCCCATTTGGATTACTGTATCTAAGCATGGAGACCTCACCTTCAGAAGTATATAGCTGCTCCGGAGAAAGGGCAACACCAGGCAACAAAAATCATTTCAGAGTTAAGTCAGCTCACGTATCAGGTATGGTTGAGGTGTAACAGTGCAAGTATTTTGCACTCTTTCATGTATAATTGTGAATTATAATTGTGGGTGGGTGTGTGTATGTGTGCGTGCGTGTGTGTGTGTGTATGTTGGTGAGGAGGTGTGGAGGAGTGGGCCGGCCTGGCTTGTACTGATGGAAGTACTATTGAACAAAGAGGGCCTTGTGTACTGCAGGACCAGCCTGGGTCCTATAAGGGTTAGTTTTGCTTCTCAGGCCTTATTTGGGCATGAGGAAGAGAGTACACAGCTTCCCCCATGTTGGGGATGGCTGGTAGAATGAGTTAGCAACCGCCTTACACAGAGAGAAGGTGACCAGCCAGTCTTCCTCACCCTGACGGGTGACACTCCAGGCACCCTCAGGGTGTATCCGTCTGAGTTGTGAGGTAAGAGTGTCAGTAATGCATTGTCTTGATTGGGTGTCTAAGTGGTGACGAGCTAGTGGAGTCTGAACCATTTAGCCATGTATGGTGTGGGCGTGTATGGAGTGGGTGATCTCCCCCCCCCCCTTTCAATTTGGTCAATATTGTATTAATTAATAGAATGTCAAAGTGTTAAATATCAATTGCTGGAAATTGTTGAAATAATTTGGTAATAAACATCTATGTGTAGAATAACAAACTTGACTTTTGTTCAGTCCTCTTTTTGCATCAATGTCCCCACAAGTAAGAGTTAAGGCTAGAGAGATATCTTGATGAACACGTGAGAGATAACTAAATTAAGCAGTGTTCCTGTCGCATTGTTTAAGTGGAAGTGAATTTAGATTCAATGACAGGTGGTGGCAGCAAACATCAGAACATCTTGGAACATCGGTATAGTATAACACCATAGATAGAGTTAGAATAAAGTCAGTCCACTCTCCCCTTTCTTCTTATTCCTCCTATCACTCTATTCCCGCTCGCCTCTCTCTCTACCTCAGTCCCTGCCTCAACCCCCCCCCCCATGTTCTATCCACCCATCCCCTCTCTTCTCTTCCCTCCTCCTCTCTCCTTCTTCCTTTTACTTTGTTTTTGATTTTCTACACAATCCAACAACTCCCCCCCCCCCCCCCCATTACAGAGGGCTGCTGTGCTAACAACACTACAAACCAGACATGACAGGGCAGATCTTATTGAAACTTAAAATACTGAACAATTTGGAGGATGTTGATCCGGAAAATTTCTTCATAAGGTCAGATGTAACACAAACAAGGAACAACAGCTTAAGACTCAACAAGCCACAATGTAGGACTGAGAACAGGAGATGCTTTATACCCACAGCATTATTAATGCATGGAACTGCCTACCCACCAAAACTGTGAATGCCAAAACTCTGCTCACAAAGTACAGCTGGAAAAGATTATCAGGGACCAAATGGGGGAAGCCGGCGATAGGCTGCCGGCTTCCTGTCCTCGTCGAGGCCACTAGTGTTAGTGGCTCTCAGGTAGGCATTCTTTAGTCTAGTATAGCATCGTACAATCTAGTACAATATCATAGTCTAGTGTAATATTGTACAAACTAGGACAGTATATTATTGCATTTTATAAATGAGGAGAACCTTAATCATTCATTCTTATTAAAGTTTGTTAGTTTTTTTATATATATACAAGAGTTCTTACATTCTTGTAAAGCCATCAGCACACATAGCGTTTCGGGCAGGTCCATAATCTTAAAATTGTTTAACAACCAGGTACCCATTCACTGCTGGATGAACAGAGGCATACAGTTAAGGCCATGGCACCTAGTCAATCCTCCCCAGCCAGGATGCGAACTCAATCTAAATCGCTTGCAAAGCGTGGGGCTAGTGTGTTACCACTGTGCCACAGTCATTAAATATAATGTATATATTTAATAATGTATCAAGGAAATAGTACAGTATTGTGAGAATAGTTTCCTGAACATTTGTGTCAACAACAGGTAACCACACTTGTCAACACGAAGGGACCGTCAAAGAAGAAGAAAGGCAGGAGTAAGCGAGCCCATGTGTTGGTGGCGGCTGTTGAGGCAGCCACGACTAACTTTATCAAGGGAGGAGAAGAAATAGCAGAAGAGAACCCTCCTATTAGGGACGAAATGCTCGCTGCTGTCGATGAAGTTAAAAAAGCAGGTAAAAAGCATTTTTCTTTGTAATAGTTCAGTTCAAACTTGAACGAGTTCAAATGTTTGTGCTTTTCTTTTTATTAACAAGCTTAGGTATACACAGCAATGTACTGCTACCCTATTCTATATGAAATATTACATAGTGTAGATCAAACACTAGCTATAAGTTCATCTAATATGCCCATCTCACAGGATGGTTAGTCATACAAGGAACCAAGGGAGAATGGTGGTGGTGGTGTACCCATCTTCTTGAGGTTATCTTGTGATGGTTTTGAGGCTAAGTATCCCCGCGGCCCGGTCCTCGACCAGGCCTCCTTTTTGTTACACACCCCCAGGAAGCAGCCCGTAGCAGCTGTCTAATTCCCAGGTACCTATTTACTGCTAGGTAACAGGGGCATCAGGGTCTCCGCTTCCACCGCGGATCGAACCCGCAGAACCTCAGGACTATGAATCTGAAGCACTGTCCACCCAGCTGTATGGCTAAGGAGCTGTCAGTGTCGCGCCAACCGCCGTGAGGAGCGGTCACGTCAGTTGAGCTCCGAGGTGTCGCCAGTTAGGGAGTGTGTAGCGTCCAGTGATAGACACCAATATGTAGCCATCAGTGACATAACCTACACCACTCTACCATTAACCATAGGGGTGCCACAGGGCAGCATCTTGGGACCTCTCCTATTTCTTATATACAGTGGAACCTGGTTGAGGACTGCCCTAGAGTACAAATATACGTATGAACAGACGGCGTCTTCCAAGTAACCGTCATAAACCAATTCAAATTTTACGATGAATTTGACATCGTATACCAAAAAATTCGTACTCCAGATCAGTCGTCAACCAAAGTTCCACTGTACATTGATTAATTTATGATCCATATCATTGTAAATTATTTGCTCTGTTTTTTTTTTTTTTTTTTTGAGACATCATGGCATTTACTTTCTAAAGATATTATAGGGCAAACTATGACTACTGCAATCTTATACCAGGGAGCAGCATGTCAGGCGCTGCCCGGCAGTTTGCTGAAGACCCGTGTGCCAGTGTCAAGCGGGCCAACATGGCCCAGGCCGCCAGGACTCTCCTCTCTGCTGTTACTCGCCTTCTGATCTTGGCTGACATGGTGGATGTTCATCTTCTTTTGAACAGTGTGCATGTGGTATGTGACTGAAAACCTTAAAAACCGATGAAGCATCTTTCCAGTTTAATATCCTTTGTAGATTATATAATAATAATAATAATAATAATAATAATAATAATGTTTATTTAAAAGAATATGTGTACAAGGAACTTTTTTTTCCAAAGAACATACGTGTTTTTTTTTTTTTTTTTTTTTAACAAGCTAAGGTATACACAGCAATGTACTGCTACCGTATTCTATATGAAAGATTATACAGTGTAGATAAAAAAACTAGCTATAAGTTCACCTACTATTGCCGTTTCACACAGGAGGGTTAGTCATACATGGAATCAGGGGAGAAAATACCTGCCTCAATACAAAAATACAATAATAACAATACAATACAAATTCAAGTATTAACAAATTCAAATTATATATAATGTAATGGAAAGCTTTATCATTCTATAAGAGAAAAATTTAGTTTACATTAATGTATAAATTGCTTTATCAAAATAGTAACTTTTATTTGTCAAGTAGGCTATGTGAGTATGATTTAAATATGAATCACATTTCATTAAAGTGTTTACATTTGTTTTTCATAGGTAGAGGTTGATATAGAAAATATGAAGCATGCATCAAGCCAATCACAGCTTCTAGATAACTTCCATTTGTTTGATAAAAGCACAAAGGAGCTGCTGCAGCTCGCAGCCAGGCGTCAGCATGAGCTTAAGGATCCAAGACTTCGTGACGAATTGGCCTCAGCACGAGCAATATTGAAAAGAAACTCCACCATGCTTCTCACTGCTTCCAAGGTGCAACACTTTATTATGCTCTTTCTTATGACACTGTACAAAATATTATTGGTCCATGAGAAGTAAGTGTTATTTTCTGAAGACTTATAATTTCACAGTACCTGTACAGTATAGTATAGAAAATGGCTATTATCCCCCCCCCCTCAAATTTTACTTTAACCTTTACCTCAGACAGCTTAGGGAAGACGTCTTCAAGGCACCTGAAGGCTGCCAAGACGTCTTCAAGGCACCTGAAGGCTGCCAATTAATCTAGAGCTGTCACACTTTGTTTCAAAAGTCGGCAGCCTTCATGTACCTTCAAGACATATTACGCATGGCTGGTAGATTAATAGGTTTACACAATGTTGGAACATTAATGGTTCGCACAGGACTGATGAATGAACAGCTTCCAGTTATACTGCAATGCCAATTAAAATTGAACTTTTGTGTAGTTATTTTAAACAATTATTATGCAAATATTAAAAATTTCAATGTAATAAACTAGTTCACTCTGGTTTTAGCTGGCTTTCACATAGAAATAATCCTCCAGGCATATGTCAGACATCCCGAGCTGGCAGCAGTCAAAGCCAATCGAGACTTTGTGTTGAAACAAATGTGTGAAGCTGTGAACACTATCAGCGATGTTGTGCAGGACAAGGCTACAGCAGCACATCAGGCACCCGGTGAACGTTCCGGAGGACTTGCCTCGGCTCTTGATGACTTTGATGTAAGTACTGTACTGTGTTCTGCATGGCTTATATTAAGATGCTAAGTTACTAGTTTAAAGCTGTCATGTCTGTGGCTAATGTTACACATTCCTCAGGATAATAATTTGTTTAACCACTGCACTGTGCAGAGTGCCTTGTGGTGCTGGATTGAGGGTGCGCAGAGTGCCATGTGGCGTTTTTAGGTATAGAGAGCGATTCAAAACTCCCACGGGTACACGGGGCTCGCAATCTGTGTCTCAGGACTCCTGTAAACATACCCCATCTTGAAACAAAATTGTGGGTAACATTCCCGGGTGTGCGAGAGCCTCAGTACTGAGCGAGCAACCAAGGCTGGTGCACGCAGTATGGAGTAACAGCACTGCTGGTCAGCTTGTGACCACAGCATTTCCTAAAAATGTAAAAATATATATGTAACTGCTATTATTTAAAGATGATAGTATTACAGAAGAGCCTGTGATAAAAATGACCAGGATTCTCATAATAGCAAGATTGTGGAGATAATTAATGATGTGCGTAGTGTGGTGGGAAGAGTAATCTTGGTGAGGGAGGGCGGTAACGTCGTCTGCTGACTGTGTGTGGCAACCTGTTATTGTCTGGACTCACCATACCAGCTTAGTGGTTCGCTACGGTGAGTACAAATGTAGATACTTATATATAACATGTGTATATAGTGTAATAACAGCAAACAAAATTTGTTGGGAGGCGCCATTTTGGTGAGGGAGGTGGCGTCATCTGCTGGCTGGTGTGGGGGGGGCAGCCACTCTTGTTGTTTGGACTCGCCATACCAACTTAGTGGTTCGTTATGGTGAACACATAGGTATATACAACATGTATATACAGTATAGTGTAATAACAGCAAAAACACTGATTGATCATAGAATATAATATACATGTAACATATATGGGCCCCATAATTTTGAGCATAGCAATGTTCCATGTATTGAACTATATAAATTCCACAAATTCCACACTTCTGAATAATATTACAGCAAAAAACCTGAGAAGAAACGAATGAGAAACATCAAAATAATTGTGAAAAATCACGGCAACTGCCGTGAATGTAACTGCTCAGCTCCATCATGGATAAAGTATGTCACATACAATATTTTATTTTAGTTTTCCGTGATCAGAGACTGCAATTTAACAATACTGTATAAGAAAAGAAAATAATTTTTTGCAAAGAATTTATTTTTGGCACACCATGGGTGTCATATTTTAACCACTGTGCTACACTGGCCGAGAAAACTCGTTCACCTAAAACTGCACTGGCCGAGAAAACTCCAATTTAAGATTTCGTAACCATTCAAAACGGGAGCGCGGTTGGTTGGGTATGAAATGAACTCCTCTCTAAGGAATGCAACTGGTTGATTCTGCTGGAAGTGTTAATTTTAGGCCAAGAAAGTAAATACTGTATAGTGGAAATGTATTGTTGTAGAGAGGCATCTGCCTTTGCCTGGCACACTTCAAGGAAAATGTGTATATTGCTCTAGGCTAAGGCAGAGACTCAACTGACAACAATATCATCAAACATTATTAGTTTTTATGGTGAACATTTACTGTTAATGTTGTCTGTTTTTCATGGAAGGAAACACATAAAGAGAGAGTATTAGTTCTCCCATGTAATTTATAGAGACCTTTACTATATCTTAATATATCCTTTAACTTAACCCTGTTTTCTGAAGAAAGCTGTGATGCATATTATATTCCTTCTTGGGATGGAATATTAGCATAAATTATTGTTCTACCTGGATTTGAACTGGTGACTGAATGAAATAAAGAATGATGTTCCCTCTCATGAGGTATGTGACAGATTTTTGAGAAAGAAGTCTTGTAAGGAGTCAAGAAATTGATTCTCTTATCTTGTGATTATAAATTAAAGACTATTAATGATAACATACAAAAGATAAATTCAGAGAGCTAGTGATGGGACCCAGCTGATATTATGGTATGAAGTAAAGGACATGGTACATGTCCAATGAGAGGATAAGAGTTGTGTGAAGCAGCTTGAAAACTGCTCTGTAGACATGGAAGAAGTTAGGAGGATACATTTAGACAGGGCTTACATGATGCATTTCATTTGGACTTATTTCCTCAGAGAAAAGTTTTTGATGGATGCAGTGTCTTAAGATTTAGGGAGATTAATAATAATAGTTTTATCTATAATCCATCCTGTACCAACACTTCAGGAATCTGTACACCAGTTAATTGACAGATGAGAGGCGAGACCAAAGAGCTGAAGCTCAATTCCCGCAAGCACAACTAGGTGAGTATAACTAGTTGAGTGCAGTACTAAAATGAACATATATTCAAGCAAACATGTATATCTCACATACGCCATTTGAATTAAATAAGGTAAGGTAATTATGAGGAGAAAGCGCTAAAGCAGTACAGTACAGTATGATTATCTTGCACTTAAGAACTGGGATAGAGTGGAAGGAAGGAATGGTGCCAAACGCCATGAACCATTGAGGATCAAACGCCGACCTGCAAGAAGCAAGCCCATCACTGTACCAACCAGTCCAAATGTTTCGGATATTGAATACAGTAAATTATTATCTTTTAATAGGGACTCCTGAGTGTGGACCCACTGACGTATACTGAGGTTAGCACACGACTGTCTCTGGAAGAATGTTTAGAGTCCATTATGAGTGAAGCGGCGCTGATGGCTGACTCCTGTACACGAGATGATCGCCACCACAAGATCGTGAAGGAATGTGATGCAGTGAGACAAGCACTACAAGATCTTCTTAATGAATACATGGACAATGTAAGCTTACAAAATATATCTATTATTAATACAACTATGGTTAATAGTTTATTGAGACAATGAGTTGCCAAAACAAATAAAGAGTTCTTATGGGATAGATTGTGTGTAGAAACATAAACTTTGACTACTGCATGTAATTTATGGATAAATGCAACTTTCTTAAAGGAACGTACATGGCTTAATGGGTTAACAGTAAACTCTTCATGATCTTTATGAAAAGTAATGATTATAATGGCTGCAGTAATGATGTTATTTACAATGAGAGAGATCAGACAATGAAATATATATAATAGGAAGAAATCACTGAATAACTGTGATGGTGATGTGGTTAATATGAGCAGTAAAGTAGAAGGAAGACCGGAGAATGACATGATGGATATGAAAGGCCTCAGGAATAAATGTCAATGGTGGTGTAGGTTAAAAATGTAATGCAAGATTCACATTCAAAATACATACTGTATTACAAATTCTGTAGTAAAATATTAATCTTCTAAGGTGGAATTATTGATAAAATTCATATAAAAAGCCAAAATATTCACATATATACATTGAGGTTTTCATTAATTTAAATGTGGGATTTTGTCTTGGTCTGCAATAACGACAATTGAGCTTCACTTCTAGTTAGGCAGTGAAAAACTCAGAAAATTCTGTTCATACTATCATCCACTCTTCTTCACTGTTTTAGATGGGTTGCAAGGAGCCCTCAGACGATTTGAATAAAGCTGTTGACCTGGTGGGTCGCAAGACAAAGGATTTGCGGCGTCAGCTGCGTAAAGCTGTTGTTGATCATGTGTCAGACAGGTTAGTATTGGTCATGCATATCATACAGGTCAGTATCAGTCATGTGTATCATACAGGTCAGTATTATTCATGTGTGTGTCATACAGGTCAGTATTAGTCTTGTGTGTGTCATACAGATCAGTATTGATCATGCTTGTGTCATACAGGTCAGTAATAGCCCTTAACCGTTGGGCTGCTCTTGCAATTACAGCCTGCAACACGCCCAAGTGCAAGAAATACAAAAAATAAAAAATAAATTTTGTCTTATAAAAGTGTTCATTTGTGTTCTGTGATCATGGGAAAAAAATGAAAAAAAAATTGTAGGTGGCATATTTTGGCTGCAAAAGATCAGGGAAGTCTGGCAAAAACAGAGTTATTGACAGATCAAGCGCTGGAGGTGGTCTGCTCCACCACCACCACCTCCACCCCAGCTGTCAAGCGGGAGTTGCCACAGATATTATTACCTAATTATTTCAATGTCTCTGATTTTTTTTGTTTGCAGTAATATTATTCAATAGTGTGTAGTGTGATACATTTATATAATAAAATGTGCGAACCCACTGTACAAATAAGCTGGTATGGTAAGCAAGACAATAATTGAGGTCGCGACACAGTCAGCTGATGCTCCTCCCTCACTCATCAACATTCCTACTCCCTCTATACTGTTTGTGCTGTTATTATACTATATACACACATTATATATAAGTATCTACATGTTTTGTTAACCATAACTGTACAACTAAGCCGGTGTAGTGTCCAAACAACATTTGTGGCCACAACAAAATTGCACGACAAGAGATGCAGCAGAAGACGCCTCCTCCCTCACCAAAATGGCTCCTCCCAACATACTCCTTTTGCTATTATATATAACGTGTGTATATAGTGAAATATGTATCTACATTTGTGTTCACCATAGCGAACCACTAAGCTGTTATGGTGAGTGCAGACAATAACAGGTGGCCACACACGAAAATATGACATCGCAAGCAAGGCAAAGACTCAACCTAAAATGCTGCACAGTCACATCAGGAGAAAAACAACAGTAAAGGAACAGGTAATGAATTTGAGGATAGGGGCAGACAGATTCACTACAAACGACAAGGAAGTGTGCAAGGAACTGAATAAGAAATTCCAGAAGGTCTTCACATTAGAGCAAGGGGAAGTTCCAGAGATAAGAGAAGGAATAGTTAACCAGGAACCACTAGAAGAGTTTGAGATTACCAGTGGGGATGCAAGGAAGCTCTTGGTAGAGTTGGGTTGGACATGTATATGAGTGGGATTGGGTGGTTATAAATAGGAGCTGCCTCATATGGGCCAATAGGCCTTATGCAGTTACAATGTTCTTATATTCTTATGTTGGATGTGACAAAGGCTATAGGCCCAGATGGAATCTACCCATGGATACTAAAGGAAGTAGCAGAAGCACTTTGCCTGCCACTCTATAGTGTATAACAAGTCACTGGTAACAGGGGAATTGCCAAAAATTTGGAAGACTGCTAATGTAGTCCCGATATACAAGAAGAGGGAGATAGACAGGAAGCACTGAACTACAGGCCAGTGTCCCTAACTTGCATACCATGCAAGCTGATGGAGAAGATTGTGCGAAAAAAGCTTGTGGAACATCTGGAGCGAAAGAACTTTGTAACACAGCATCAACATGGGTTTAGAGATGGCAAGTCCTGCCTCACAGGATTAATTGAATTCTATGACCAGGCAATACAAATCAGACAAGAAAGAGAGGGGTGGGCAGACTGCATATTTTTGTATTGCCAGAAAGCCTTTGACACAGTACCACACAAGAGGCTAGTGAAAAAGCTGGAGATGAAGGCAGGAGTGAACGAGAAGGTACGCCATTGGATAAAGGAGTACCTAAGCAACAGAAGACAGCGAGTCACTGTGAGGGGTGACAGATTGGCGAGACGTCACCAGTGGAGTCCCACAGGGTTCAGTCCTTGGACCTATACTGTTTCTGATACATGTAAATTATCTCCCAGAGGGTATAGAATCGTTCCTCTCATTGTTTGCTGATGATGCAAAAATTATGAGGAGGATTAAAACAGAGGATGATAGTAGGAGGTAACAAGATGACCTAGATAGACTGAATGAATGATCAAACAAATGGCTACTAAAATTCAACCCGAGTAAATGCAAGGTCATGAAACTAGGTGGTGGAAACAAGAGGCCAGACACAGGATAGCGAATGGGAAATGAAGTACTTCATGAAACGGACAGAGAGAAAGATCTAGTTGATATCACACCAAACCTGTCTCCTGAAGCCCACATTAAAAGAATTACATTTGCGGCATACACGAGGCTGGCTAACATCAGAACAGCCTTAAGGAACCTGTGTAAGGAATTATTCAGAACCTTGTACACAGCATATGTAGGTTGTGTCGTCAGCAAATAGAATTGGTTTGACTCTTACTCTTTCCCACCGTTTCCCAAAATTACTCTTCCCACCATACTATGCACAGCGCTAATTATCAGAACAATCCTGCTATTATTATATACAGTATTGATAATCATTACACTATTGATATTGGAACCTGTTCCGAGTAGCTGAATCTATAACAACAACTATTGATAATGTAGCTGGGGTGAGTAACTATTGCAGGGCGGTGCACCACAGCTATGTATGTTTGGGACTATCGCACAAGATTTAAATGGCCCGCGGATTAGAGGGGGCACCCATACATTGGTCAGAGCCGATAGTAAACAGATGCCATCTTGGAAAAAATCCAGCTTAGGCCGCCATTGAGAGGGAGCCTTAGTTATCCAACAATCACCATGATGAGTGCATCACGTTCCAGCGGCTGACCGCACCGCACCACCCAATCAATGACTGAGGATGAAATTCATATTAAACTATTTTCTGATGTGAGGAAACTGATATTGATGACTGACATTGATAAAGACTATACACAAGAGTCCGATGGGAATGAAACCGAGAGAGAATGATATTGTGCCTACTCCGAGGGTGAGGCCTACATGCTCACCACTGCCTCCTTGCCCACACTCTACACCAATTTTCTACCGACTACACAGTTCATGTGTTTATGTGCAGTATGAGGATGTTCAGAGCGACGAGTCAGAGATTTTGTGAAGTTGAATCAGAAAATAGCATTACCACGCCTGTAGCTAGTACCAGTGGGATGCGTGGTATTACCAAACGATGTTTTGTCGCTGGCATTCCGGAAGCGCTTTGTCATGGGTTCGTATCCTGGCCGGGGAGGATTTACTGGGCGCAAATCCTTAACTGTACCCTCTGTTTAACTCAACAGTAAAAGGAGTACTTGGTTGTAACAACGTTTCTTCGCGGCGGGGATCGTATTCCAGGGACCTGCCCGAAACGCTACGCGTACTAGTGGCTGTACAAGAATGTAACAACCCCTTTATATATCTCAAAAAAAAAAAAAATAAATTGGCTGCATCTCGCCCAGCCAAATGCCGCCGCATGGCATCACATGGAGACAATGAGGAACAAAGTCCCTCATGTTCACGTCATTTTACCTCATCTTCAGTTCCCGCCCGTATTGTTAGTAGACAGACTTCAGCTTCTGGTCCACAATGTACACTGATCCCTGGCCTTGGTGCCGCTGTTGCGCCTCGCAAGACACCAGGTGTGCTTGTGTGGAGTGATGGTGCAGATTTTGTTCCACAAATTCCTGCCTTTGACAATACAGATGTTGGAATTACGAACCTTTTCTCTAATACTGATGAGGACATGTGTGAAATGGACTTTTCTGGGGGGAGCCCCGTCGGCTCCCCGGAGCTTTACCGGCTGATATGCTAATGTCAGACTTTGGCATCAGTCATGTGTATGGAGTTCTAGGGCCTACCGGGGACCACGAGCCAGAACCTGGCCCCCTCAGAGAGGCAAGGGGAGCAATGGCCTATAGAAACCCCCGTGTGGTTGGAAGCATTCTATGTCTGCCATCGACCGGGTCAAGCATCCAGAAAGGTAAGCATTCCAAAACAAACCCCTATTCTGGTGAAAATTGCTACCTAAGCCGAACTAGTGAATAGAACTCTTCAACAGAAAACACGGAAACTAGTATGACGTCATACGTCACCGCGCCGCTGTCTGCGCAGCTCCCCCCTCCCCGGGAGGGGGAAGGGGGAGCCCCAGACCTCCCACGCCGGCTATCCACCCATCAGTTCTTCGGCTGATGCTATAGGCAATGGTTATGTGCTCCGGCTCCAGTGGTTGTTTCAGCACTGTACCTAGAGTGTGGTGTCTGTTTTCTAGGTGGTGCGTGAGCCGGGTGTGATTCTTCAGTACTCGGGCTGCATGCGCCTAGGGTTCCCTTCCCTAGGTGCCCTGTAAGTACTGCCCTTGGGGCTTGGGGCCACCTTCCACAAGTTCTTTGGGTCCTGCCCCTGCTTGGCCGTTTACCGCTTGGTTTTCGGCCGCTCTTTGTGTGCTCGGGTGTTCTGTCTCCCTTGTTCGCCTTAGAGTAAGGGGCAGTGTTTGCACTGGTGGGGCGCGGGGTACTGTGCAGCTTGTCTTTACCAATCATAGCGGCCGGCTCTGTTCCGCTTGGGTACGCTGTCCTCTTGCGGGGTTTTCTTTTTCTTTTGTTTATATACCTGGTGGGGGGGTCTGCCTTCGTTCTTGCCCCTTGTGTCCCTTGTGTTCTGAGTATTTCTGGTGGTACCCCCTGCTAGGTCCCCGTGAGTGTACACGTCCCGGGGGTTCAGCTCTTAGAAAGTTGTTTGGTAGCTTGGGTGCCGGTTAGCAGTACCCTGCCTGGGATTACCTGAGCGCGAGTCCTCTTAAAGTAAACGCTCGGGACCCTGGGAAACCCCTGGGGGCGCGCGGGTCCGATGGATGTGACCCCAGAGCCCCCCCCTCGCTTCCAGCGAGTTTGAGGGTTGCTCTCACCTTTTGTCTCTGGGTGACTCTCTGTTTTGCCTCCGTCTGCTGCCTGTGGGGTCGGTGACACCTTCGACCCGGTGTCCTGCGAGTTTGGTTGCTCGTTGTGGCTCGGTTACCCAGTTGTGCTAACAAAGCGGGTGCG